TAGGAATTTACCCTAAGAATGCAGCAGCCCAATTTGAAAAAGACATATGCACCCCTATGTTTATCGCAGCACTATTTACAATAGCCACGAAATGGAAGCAACCTAAGTGTCCATTAGTAGATGAATGGATAAAGAAGATGTGGTACATATACAGAATGGAATATTATTCAGCCGTAAGAAGAAAACAAATCGTACCTTTTGCAACAACACGGATGGAGCTAGAGGGTATTATGCTCAGTGAAATAAGCCAGGTGGAGAAAGACAAATACTAAATGATTTCATTCATATGTGGAGTATAAGAACAAAGAAAAAACTGAAGTAACAAAACAGCAGTAGATTCACAGAACCCAAGAATGGACTAACAGTTACCAAAGGGAAAGGAACTGGGGAGAATGGGTGGGAAGGGAAGGATAAGGGTGGGAAAACGAAAGGGGCCATTAAGATTAGCATGTATAATGTGTTGGAGGGGAATGAGGAGGGCTGTGCAACACGGAGAAGACAGGTAATGACTATACAGCATCTTAGTATGCTGATGGACAGTGACTGTAATTGGGGTTTGTGTGGGGGACTTGGTGATGGTGGAGAATAGTAAACATAATGTTCCTCATGTAATTGTAGATTAATTATACCAAAAAAAAATTCACCATAAGAAAAAAAATGAAAATAAAAAAATTAAAACTTTTCTGAAGAATCCATAGGCTCTTTGCCTTCTCTATCCTGTCCAATAATGGACAGTAGAGTTGTCATCAGCAAACATCTGTAAATGAGAGTAGAGTGCCTGCAGAGCCAGACATTGACATATGGCTCAGATAATCCAAGTATATTTACATCAATCTAAGGACCATCCAAATCAAAGCATGAAGATGTGGAAATGAGATGTGCTCAGTATTTCTAGAAAAAAGAGGAGAGAGTAGTTTGGGGATGGCATGTGATGCTCTGGCTTGCCCAGTGTGTTCAAACATGTGACACAGGCTTATTGCGACCAGCAGGCCTGTAAGGACTTGTGGGTTCAATGAGCTGACAGCCGACTAAGAAGCGTTGTACGGGTCAAATTCCCTGGAAATTGCCCCACAGGGGTGTGTGCTTTAATGCTCCCCTTCCAAATGAATGCACCCAAAGAGCTTCTACAGACAGCACTGAGAAAAGCAAACCTCAGCCCAAATCAAAGTGTTTGTGGACCATCAAACTGCAATAGACCGTTGAGATTAAGAATCCACATTGTAGGAAACAATGGGCTGGCCTGGGAGCCTGCCCTTTCACAGAGTGAGCATGACACCCCAGGGATGAGCCTGTGGGTCAGTTGGGACTTGTTGGAAGGAAACATTAAACCAAGGGATGAGACTGAAAAATAAGCTGTCCCCAGGGGAAGCCTCAGGGAAAGGAAAACTGCATTAGATGGTACAAAGAAGGACAATGTGAGGGACAGAGAGGCTCTACCAGCATTAGTGCATGGAGCCACTCGTGGGCAGAGTGATTAGAAAACTTCATGTGACCAAGTCACTGGAAAGCCAGAGGAGGGTTCCCCTGGAAGAAGGGGTGGGCAGAGAGGAAATGTGGTTGTCCTGGTCCTTGGCACATCCCAGGCCTTGGTGGCCCATGCAACAAACAAGGCCATTTATGTTAGTGCCCCAACCTGCTCACAGGATCTCAACCAGCAATCTAGGGGTTCCTGACAGTGATTGTGTCCTCAAGACCCATGCTGCCCTCCTGCACTGTGATGGGAGGACAGGATGGATGGCTGTTCTGTTGCACCACATCATTCTAGTTCCAGATCCTCACATGAGCTCCTGAAACAGCTCCTTTGGTCCATAGCTGTGACCTAGAATTAGATTGGCAGTGTGCAAGTGCCATGCTGTCCCCTCTGTCATCATCTGCCTGTGATCTCCTCACAGGTGCTCACTTTATCCGCATTTTACCCAGTGTCTTGCTTGCTCATTTGATAACAGGTGCAAGTTGATTCCTGAGAAATAAACCCACTGGGCTAACATCCACCTCTGGATCCATTTAGATTTAGTTGGATCATACTACTGCTGAGCTTTCAGGGTTAATCACATGGTATGTGCTAGTCCTAGGAAGTCATGACCTCACATCTTGATTCCAGTGGCTGCTTTGGTGAAGACATTGGGGCTTCTAAGACTATGATGTGACCACATCACCTGGAGATCTTGTTACAATGCACAGTCTGTTGTATGGTTCTGCAGGTCTGGCTGGGGCCTGAGATGCTGCATTTCTATTGAGCTTCTGGAGTGATCCCAAAGTCGTCTGTCCATTTTAGGTGGTCAAATTGCAGATCCCTCCCTCCCCCATTTCTGTTTTCTGTTTCTGTATTTAAAACAAGAACCTTTGGCAAGGCAAAAAAAAAAAAAAGTGCCCAAAATAGTCTTCATGAGCTAAAAAATTTGATCTTAACCACAGCATATTAACATCTATTCCTATGATTATTTCAGTTTTATGCTTGTGACATTCTTAGTAACATCCACTGTGTCTCTAATAAACATTGTAGCTACAAAAAACTTAAAATGGTAGACTTGGGTGTGAGGGAGTAGGACAAGGTGATTACAGTTGTAGAGATCTAGAGATGCCTAACTATTTTCATAATTTAGGGAGAGAGATGCATTTTCCCATCATTAGGCGAACACTCCTTTTGTTCACAGTAGTGATTCCTGTAAAGTAAATTTGAACATTCAGACCAATCTGTAATTATGCAGAAGGCCTGTAGCAATCATAGATTGAACATTTGTCATTTTGGCTATTCAGAATCAATCCCCAAAATCCATGACACGCAGTAGTTTTTAATTTTGGTAAACACAAGTTTGATCCTCATGTTACAAGGCTGGCGTGTGATTGTTACGTGGTTTGGGAAACGCCCCTGCATCGACGTCTCAGTTGGGTTTCTTGTTCTCCACTCCAGTAGCTTGGATGAAGCGATAATGAAGAGACAAGAGAAAAGGCTGTGAAAAGCCAACCGGCTAGGTCCACGATACAGGAAAAGCTGTATGCTAGGGAATTAACTCTCTGTATTGCAGAAGTTTGCCAGTATATTTATATAATGTTGTAATTCAGGGGCAGTTATTCCGTAAGTAAAAAAATCCTTTTATTCACTGCAAGTACCATAATCCGACATTTAGATATGTTTTCTACTTTTTCCCGTGGTTTCCTACTTACTCTGTTTTATGGGATAATTTTCCCCAAACGCTTTGCAAAACAAAGCTTTCAGGTTGGTGTGGCAGAGAAAGCACTGATCTCGGATTCAGGAGATGAGTTCTCCAGTCCTGACTGTGCCACTACTGATCGTGCGACTTCAGAAAAGTAAACCCCATTCTAGGAGTTTAGTTTCCTGTATGTCAAATGGGGGACTGTGGCAACGAGCTAAAATGAACCAAGGACCAACTTCAAGACTAAAACCTAAGACTCGAGGGGCAATTGTCCGGTCCCGGCCTTCACTTCAAGCCGTCCTCGCCCACTCCAGACCCCACGAAGCCCCTTCCCACCAACGCCTGGCTGCGGGCCTCTCGGTAAGCCGTTAGGCGATAATATGCCTCGCCCCGTGCTGGGCGGGGCGGGGCCGGCAGCTTCGGTCGCGAGCGGGAGACGATGCTTCCCTCGGGCCCGGCCCGCCACCGCGCGCGCGAGCCCCTCTCTGCCACCGTTGAGGGGTTAACCAGCCCCACCAGCGCAAGTTCGGGAGCACCGAAGCTCCTCTGCTTCGCCGCAGGGAAGGGTGCGGAGAGGGGGAGGGGCAGGAAAACGAAAAAAGCGCGGATCCTTTTATGATGAGCAGTTCGCGCGTCCTTTGGAGGGATTGGCCAGGGATTTTACTCTAAAGCCAGTCACTGTAGACCAACGGCGGCTCAGTCGGGACCTCATTCTCATTGGCTGAGAGACTGCGTCATAAGGGTAGAGTTTAAACTCAGAGTATCCAGGATTATTCCCCCCGCCCTGCGGTTCGTGTCTCGGAAGTGACGCAAGGCCGTGGCCGGGCGGCCGCCGAATGCCCGCTTCCTCTCCTGCAGTGGCTCCCTGTTGTAGGTGGTTGTGAGCACCGTGCACAGAGGGAGGCAGCCGTGGCGAATGATGCCTGGGAAACTCCTCTGGGGGGACATTATGGAGCTGGAGGCACCCTTGGAGGAGACCGAGAGCCAGAAGGAGGAGAGGCAAAAGGTGCGCAGAGAATGGGCCGCGCCTCCCGTAGGGCTGCGCCGGCTTTGGCGGGGAGGGAGCTGTCCCTGATGGCTTGTCACAGCCGGGCCAGGACATCCGAGGGCCTCTCCTCGGCAACCCTCGTCTCTCTCAGGCCGCTCCGGGATCATTCCTACCTCCATAACCCCAACCTGGAGAAAGGAGGCAGTGGGCTTTGGACAGGCCTCCCGTGGTCCCTGAGCCCTTCCTGTGGGCGCAACGAGTGGGCTGGCTGAAGCGCCCATCGCCGCGGAATCTGTACTTTCTCCTCTTTAAGATGCTTGTCTTTTGGTTCTTGCTGGCCGTCTTAGAAGATGATTTAAAGAAATGTTTGTTTTGAATATGTGTTATTTCTCCATCAACCTCGCCTGTGTTGTGAGTCTTGGGGAAAGTGATCTTAGGTTTACAAACCTCGATAACTAGTCTTAAGAGGCTTAAAGAACAATGTCACAGCCCACGTTGCAGGATCTGGCAGTAATGGGGATAGTGTGAGTTGTATTATTAACGACTTTTACTGTTAGTATTTTCATTCAATCCCCAAGTATTTCATGAGCGTTACTTGTCCTAGGCTCTTTGTTGGGCACCAAGGACTTTTAAGTAAGTCCCTGCCTTGAGTTGTACAAGCTTCCCACCAGACCCCTAAAAAAAAAAAAAAAGACTTGGAGAAAAGAAAAGAGAGCTGAGGAAGGGTAAAGAAACGGTATTTGAAGACTGACATTTGACAAAAGAATGAAAACATTCTGTTTAGGACCAGACAGCAGAACCTACCCTTCTAATCTATTACCAAGGTGAATAGGCCATTCCAGCCAAGCAGTTACTTTTTTCATTGTGGTAAAATATACACAACATAAAAATTATTTTAACTATTTTTACTATTTTAGATTGTAAAGTTTTGTAGCACTAAGTACATTCACATTGTTTTTCAGCCATCGCCACCATCTCCAAATCTGTTTTGTCCTCACCCACTGTAACTGTGCCTGTTAAACACCAGCTTTGCATTAACCCCTTTCCTCAGTCCCTTGCAGCCTTTAGATACCTCACATAAATGAAATCACCAAGCAGTTATTTTAATTTTGTCTCCTCCTGAAGTGCTTGTCTCTCCTTTTGCATTCAAATCTATCCATCTGTCAAGGTTTAGTTGATGTCTGTTCTAACCACTCCCTTGTACATGTACAGTTATCTCATTCCCCTTTGAAGTTTTGTGCTATCTTTATGCCTCTGTTGACATTTATTATGCACTTCTTTGTAAAATAAACTCATTTTTCCTGTATCTTTCCCAAATATTCCCAAAGATTTTTTTAGGGAAATGCCCATATATTTATTTGTCCATCCTACATTTCATATTCTTGTAAATTGGTGGCTTTCATGTTATAGATTCTTCAGCGATACTTGTTGATTTTCCTTTATGAAAGATGACTAAAGATATGGAAACAGCTTGGAGCAATAGAAATAGAGCAGTAGAATAGTGATCTGGCATTGAGGTGAAGATGATTTTGGTTTTGGGTATATTTGAGATTTGGAGCTGGGCCTTGGGTCTCAGAAGTGGAGTACAGCTGAAGAAGGAAGCCTGGAAGTCTTTGTTGAAGCTGTGAAAATGTTATGAAATTATACATGGAGAACAGACTTGGGAGCATCCCAGGAGGAGGAGGAAGAGGAACTAGTGAAGAGGGTAGAGGTCAGAAGGATAAGGAGGGAATATAAAGTGTCATGGGAGCCAAGAAAGTGGAGAGTGTCAAGCACTGTGGATCTGATGAGGAGCAATGTATTTCATCACCTTGGGATATTGCTGGGCTTGGACCTAGAGGTCTGTACATTACCACGCTTCATCTCCCTGAAGTACAGGGCCCAGGAGCAATTCAAACCCCAAGGCTGGCTGTGTAAATACCTTTGTTTTTCTATAGAATATACTGCTTTGGAACGATATAGGCTAATTCAGTTAACTAAAGATCAAATGATACAATTAATTTATGTTAATGTAAAACTCTACTGTTTATAGAGCATTTTCACACATGTGTTTCAATTTTCACAGCAACTCCTGTTTTATGGATGAGAAAATTATATGTGAAACTACTCTATAAAAATTATGGAAGTTATGGTGAATATTTTGGTGGTAGTAGTTTTACCTGTCTATCTGAACATTTGACCAAGTAATTCTGAAGTGCTTAAATTTCTAAATCATTTCTGTCTGCAAATATTAGAGTTCTGGCCACCAGTTTAGTGTTTTATAAGTAAAGTTGCAGACTAGTCTTTTTTTAAAAGTTCTATTAACTAAATTTTTAAAGCTTTAAAAAAATTTCCAGGATTATGAATATACTTGTCCTTCCATGGGATATAACAATTGTTTTTCATGCATTCATTTTGTTTAGTTTGCTTTTTCTTTAAGTGTTAAATATTAAAAGTTCAGAGAGGAAGCATGTTGTGAAAAGAACATGGGCTTTCAAGTCAGACAGGGCTTGACATCTACTACTTCTGCTCGCAGGAAATTCTGCGTGTGGGTCTTTGGCAAATTACTTCTAAGAACTTCTGTTTCCTCTGTAAAATTGCAAAGGTAATACAGGTTCGCTATCCCTTATCCAAAATCCTAGATGTGTTTTGGAATTCAGAATTCAGGGGATTCTCAGAAAGGTAACACCCCAGTAGGGTTTGGGACTCCAATTTATAATCAAACATCTTAATATTAAATATGGATATTCAGACTAAATGAAATAACTGATTATAAATAGCTTCACATTAGTTCAAATCAAATTTTGCCATAAAATGAGTTCAGATCAGGTAAGGTTTTGCCTCCAAATAAGTTACAAAAAAACTTTAGGTTTTCAGAGCTTTATGGATATTGGAATTTTGAATAAGGGATTATGGACCTGTACTTCCTTTATAGGGTTGTTAATGAAGATTTAAACAAGCCGAAAACATTATGCAATGCTGGGTAGGTACTCAATAAATATTTTTCTTTCTCTTGGAGATTCTTGAAATTTCTTTGTTTTTTAATTTATAAATCTTGGGTTCTCATACTTTTTCTGAAAAGGAGCTGTTTTAATTTTGCTTGAATCTTGTGATGGGATTAGAGCAGGTTTAGGGCCAAGTCTTAAGAATGCAAGAAAGGAAGCAAGAGGTGAGGTTTAGATTTGGCGTTAATAACCAGTCTGGATTTCTACCAGGTAACCTTTCAAGGTAACAGCAGATGGAGTGAGCTTTGCTGGCTGGGGAATCATGCTTAACTTCTCTAGAACCTTAACAGGAGAGCTTGTGATCCTCTTGTCACTGCTGCTTTGTTTTTTCACAGAGTGATAGAATGAAGTCAAGGTACCATTATGACTCAGATGAGAAATCAGGAATAAGAGAAAATGGTGTTACAGATGACCTGGAAGCTCCCAAGCCCAAAAAAACTAAAATGAAAGAGAAGCTAAATGGAGACACTGAAGAAGAGTGTACTAGACTTTCAGATGAATTTTCTAAATCTCGTAAGTCAAGAAGAAAAGACCTGTCAAATGGAGATATTGATAAATATAAAGAAAAATCAAAGCGACTGTCATCCTTAGGTAGTTCTACTCATAAATCAAGTGATAATAAACCAGAGGAGGTATGGATACTTTTTGTTTTGCATTTTAATATTATCCCTGAAATACAGGCTAATTAGAATTTTTTTAGACTAATAAGAATTGACTGTAATATTTCCTTACTTAATGTCCAATACTGTCAGTTGGAACAGAGAGTATGTACTGCTGAAGCCTGACCCTTTTTTTCCTTTGTCCCTTGTCTGTTTCATTGCATTGCCTTTTTCTTGGGGTGGAGGTGGGATGGGCAAATTTAAACCTTCCCTGGATGTTTGGATTACCAAAGAGGTTTTCCAGCTTGCTTACTGATGGTCACCTACTTGCATTTCTTATAGTTATTTCAATCTGCCAGTACTCATGAATTGACTTCATACTTCCTGAAACGGATACATAATGCCTCTTGACTTTGTATATTCCGCCTTCTGCTTTTTCTGGTTCTGTACAATAGTACCTTTAAATGATCTTTAGGTCTTATTGTAACTCAGTCTTAAAGCTGTTTGCATTTTTAAAGCGGATATAAAACATAAAAATGATCTGTAATCAGTTCTGCTGGGTATTAATTTTTTGGAAGTGGTAGAAAACATGCTTAGTATAGAATCTACATTCTTGGACCCTTTGCTTTTGCTAGTACCTATTAGAGTAGCTACTTTCTTGCACAGAATTTGTTTAATTTGTTCTTGTAATTTTCCTCTAGCAGAGTTCATAGTTTATCTAGGTATTATGAATTGTCAGAAAATCACTCAGGTCCTCCGAAAGAAACAACTTTGATATTCCTTGTAATTCTTGGTAGCTAATACTTCTTTATATTTTTAAAATTTGACACGTTGGCTGATGACTTAAATACATTTGAACTTAGTTTAATGTATAATCTTTGGGAGCGTTGGGAAAAGATTTTGAATATGGGTGTGGTTTATTTTTGGTGAATTTGCTTTTTGTGAGGAAGCACATATGTTAGAGAGTTGATATAAATAAAGCTCTGTAAATCTGTATTGCTAACAGCAAAATGTACAGGTTGCTCTTGCTCTGTTGGGATTTTGCCTGGTACTATGCTCTGCATTATAATAGGCTTAACTGTGTATTATGTTTTTTAGATTATGTTAGTGTTCAGAAATTCTGTTTCTAGGAATCTATCTTGCTAAGGAGATAATTATGAGGTCTGCAGAGACATATGAATAAGTACTCTTACCACAGTGACATTTCTGATAATGAAACATTTGTACATCCTAAATCTCTGATGGTAGGCAATTGGCTTAATAAAATATGCTTATATCCATGCAATAGACTACATCTATCCCAGAGGTCCTAGAAGAATGTTAGAAAGGTATTCAGTGAATCTTATTAAATGAAAAAGCAGATTACAAAACAGTACATAGAGTTTTATTTTTATTTTTAAAAATTGATATGTGCATAGTGTGAATACTGGAGAGATTTGTTTCAAATGTGGCTTTAGCTGACTGGATTATAGATAATTTTTTGAATTTCTGTTTATATGTGGTTTCTAAAACTTCTACCGTGAAAATGTGTTACTTTTACAATGAAATTATTTTCTCTTAATTTTAAAAAGATAATAGCATTGAGGTTTGCTTAAATGGCTTACAACTTGAATTTGATATTATGTCTTATCTGGCTCTCTGTTTGAAAATAGCTATTATGTGTGGTTCTGGACCTACTTTTTTTTAAAACATCAATAATAAAGTTAAAACATCAATAATAAATAATAAAGTGAATTTTTTTTAAAATGACAATTTTTTGTTCTATATATACATTGACTATTATACAATGTTTTCAATAGACATTAAATGCTTTTTAGAGTCACAGAACAGAACAACTTTTTAATTTTTATCTTCGGAAGTAATTTACTTTTCTCATTGTGTAATTTCTTTTAGGGCTGGTTAAAGCTTGTGTTAATCCTTATAATTAATATTGTCTTTATCTGTGAATGATTTAAATTATTAGCTCTTTTGTAACATCTTAGTCAGATGGAAATATATTTTGATTTATGTAGTAGATGTATTTCTGAAGGTAGGTTTATGTGTGAATTGACCATTTTTAAGTGTATTTTGGGAAATGTATTAAGCAAGCTTGCTATGTAAAGGGATACTTTTGAAATTAAAAGAATTTCCCATGAATTTATTGTGTAAGTTAATCTATACAATTTTTGCAAGTACTAAAGTTGATCTTTTAGCTAACTAAAGTGATACTAAATACTAAAAATGAATAAAATGTAAATGAATTAAAGATTCTAAATACCTTGTTGAATATGAACTATATTAGAATTTTGATTTCATTTTGACAGACTGTAACTTGTGAACAGAAAGAAGGAGACTTCTCCAATTTCCCTATTTCTGAAGAGACTATAAAGCTTCTGAAAGGTACTATGAATTTTAATAGATATGCATTTGAAAATCTACAATTAGATTTTATAAAACTCTTTGCCTTTTCCGACCAAAAGGAGAATATAGAAAACATAGAAAAATAGCTCTTCTTTAATTGAAATTATTTCTACATCATCTTTTTTGGTATTCCGACTTGTTTTTAACTTTAAAGAAATATAGGTGTCTATCAAAAGTCAAGATTATTTTTAAAGAACAGTTCCTCTTTGGAGTAGAAATAACTGTAAATGTCATTAAATGGTGTGTCTTGAGGCAGATGAGGAATCAGGATGGTCATTTTCAAATTAATCTATTTTTTCCTAATGCTAGTTTTAAATATATTTCAATGAAATCTCATTTTACAGGTCGAGGGGTAACGTATCTCTTTCCTATTCAAGTTAAGACTTTTGGTCCTGTGTATGAAGGAAAAGATTTAATTGCTCAAGCACGGACAGGAACAGGAAAGACATTCTCTTTTGCCATCCCCTTGATTGAAAGACTCCAAAGAAATCAAGAGACTATTAAAAAAAGCCGCTCACCAAAGGTAACCATTATAGGGGGTAAAAGGATTAAATGTTACTCTAATGGAAAGAGAAAGAAAGATTATCTTAAGTTCATGTACCCCTGAGATAGAAAAGTTAGCCCTGTGGCGTAAAGTAAAAAATTGGGGTCCTAAAGCAAAAATTTGTTGATTTTCAGCATAAATCTCAAGTAAAGCTAAAGTGAAATACTTGTTCCATATGAAGTAATGTGTATGTATCTATAGACATCTTATATAAACTGTATATTATGAAGCCATAATATATAATTTTAGGAGTATTTACAGTTAGTGTATCAACCTTTTTCTTCTATTTTTTCAGTCTTGACTTTTGCTTTAAAGCAATGAATTTGCTAAAGAGGTATTCATTTATTTGGTCATTCAGTAAATATTATCACTTATTTCGCTGGTTGACTTTTATTTTTATTTTTTTAATCAAAATATCATTGATGTATAATCTTGTATTGCTTTCAAGTATATAACACAGTGGTTCAACAGTTACCCATATTATTAAATTCTCACCCCACCAGTGCACTTACTATCTGTCAACATAGGAAGATGTTATAGAACCATTGGCTATATTCTCCATGCTGTACTACCTTCCCTGTGACCAACTTATGATTGAAAATTTTTGTGTGCCTTTATCCCCCTCACCCTGTCCACCCACCCAACCCAACCCCTTTCTCATGGTAATTGCCAGTTACTTCTCAGTGTCTATGAGTCTACTGTTATGTTGTTTGTTTTGTTTTGTTTTGTTTTTATATTCCACAAATAATTGAAATCGTATGGTATTTGTCTTTCTCTGCCTGGCTTATTTGACATAGCATAATGTCCTCTAGATCCATCCATGTTGTTGCAAATAGCAGGATTACTTTTCTATGCTGAATAATATTCCATGGTGTATCTGTACCACATCTTCTTTATCTATTCATCTATTGATGGACACTTAGGTTGCTTCTGTAACTTGGCTGTTGTAAATAATGTGATGGTAAACATAGGGGTGTGTATGTCTTTTTGAATCAGGGATTTTATTTTCTTCAGGTAAATTCCTAGAAGTGGAATTATTTACTGGGTTGTGTGGTATTCCTATTTTTAGTTTTTTGGGGAACCTCCATACTGCTTTCCATAGTGGCTGCAGTTAAAATTCCCACCAACAGTGTACCAGGGTTCCCATTTCTCCACATCTTCACTGACACTTGTTTCTTGTCTTTTGGATAGTGGCCATTCTAACTTGTATGAGTTAGTGATATCTCATGCTTTTATTTGGCATTCCCCTGGTGATTAGCAACCTGGAGACCTTTTCATGTGCCTGTTAGTCATTTGCATTCTTCTTGGAGAAATGTCTGTTCAGGTCCTCTGCCCATTTTTTTTTTTGTATCATTAATCTACAATTACATGAGGAACACTATGTTTACTAGACTCCCCCCTTCACCAATTCACCCCCCACCCCCAAAAACCCCATTACAGTCACTGTCCATCAGCATAGTAAGATGCTGTAGAAACACTACTTGTCTTCTCTGTGTTGCACAGCCCTCCCCGTGCCTCCCCCCACATTATACATGCTAATCTTAATGGCCCCTTTCTTTTTTCCCCCCCATCATCCCTCCCGTCCTACCCATCCTCCCCAGTCCCTTTCCCTTTGGTAACTGTTAGTCCATTCTTGGGTTCTGTGAATCTGCTGCTGTTTTGTTCCTTCAGTTTTTTCTTTGTTCTTATACTCCACATATGAGTGAAATCCTTTGGTACTTGTCTTTCTCTGCCTGGCTTATTTCACTGAGCATAATACCCTCTAGCTCCATCTGTGTTGTTGCAAATGGTGGGATTTGTTTTCTTCTTATGGCTGAATAATATTCCATTGTGTATATGTACCACATCTTCTTTATCCATTCATCTACTGATGGACACTTAGGTTGCTTCCATTTCTTGGCTGTTGTAAATAGTGCTGCGATAAACACAGTGGTGCATCTGTCTTTTTCAAACTGGGCTGCTGTATTCTTAGGGTAAATTCCTAGAAGTGGAATTCCTGGGTCAAATGGTATTTCTATTTTGAGCTTTTTGAAGAACCTCCATACTACTTTTCACAATGGTTGAACTAATTTACATTCCCACCAGCAGTGTAGGAGGGTTCCCCTTTCTCCACAACCTCACTAACATTTCTTGTTGTTTGTCTTTTGGATGGTGGCTATCCTAAGTGGTGTGAGGTGATATCTCATTGTAGTTTTCATTTGCATTTCTCTGATGACTAGCCATGTGGAGCATCTTTTCATGTGTCTGTGGGCCATCTGAATTTCTTCTTTGGAGAAGGGTCTGCTCAGCTCCTCTGTCCATTTTTTAATTGGATTGTTTGGTTTTTGTTTGTTGAGGTGCATGAGATCTTTATATATTTTGGATGTCAACTGATATTGGATCTGTCATTTATGAATATATTCTCCCATACTGTAGGATGCCATTTTGTTCTATTGATGGTGTCGTTTGCTGTACAGAAGCTTTTCAGCTTGATATAGTCCCACTTGCTCATTTTCACTTTTGTTTCCCTTGCCCGGGGAGATATGTTCATGAAGAAGTTGCTCATGTTTATGTCCAAGAGATTTTTGCTTATGTTTTCTTCTGAAGAGTTTTATGGTTTCATGACTTACATTCAGGTCTTTGATCCATTTCGAATTTATTTTTGTGTATGGGGTTAGACAGTGATCCAGTTTCATTCTCTTACATGTAGCTGTCCAGTTTTGCCAACACCAGCTGTTGAAGAGGCTGTCATTTCCCCATTGTATGTCCATGGCTCCTTTGTCATATATTAATTGACCGTATATGTTTGGGTTAATGTCTGGAGTCTCTATTCTGTTCCACTGGTCTGCGCTCTGTTCTTGTGCCAGTACCAAACTGTCTTGATTACTGTGGCTTTGTAGTAGAGCTTGAAGTTGGGGAGTGAGATCCCCCCTCTTTATTCTTCCTTCTCAGGATTGCTTTGGCTATTCAGGGTCTTTTGTTGTTCCATATGAATTTTTGAACTATTTGTTCCGGTTCATTGAAGAATGCTGTTGGTAATTTGATAGGGATTGCATTGAATCTGTAGATTGCTTTGGGCAGGATGGCCATTTTGACAATATTAATTCTTCCTAGCCAAGAGCATGGGATGAGTTTCCATTTGCTAGTGTCCTCTTTAATTTCTCTTAAGAGTGTCTTGTAGTTTTCAGGGTATAGGTCTTTCACTTCCTTAGGTTTATTCCTAGGTATTTTATTCTTTTTGATGCAATTGTGAATGGAATTGTTTTCCTGATTTCTCTTTCTATTAATTCATTCTTAGTGTATAGGAAAGCAACAGATTTCTGTGTATTAATTTTGTATCCTGTAACTTTGCTGAATTCTGATATTAGTTCTAGTAATTTTGGAGTGGAGTCTTTAGGGTTTTTTATGCACTATATCATGTCATCTGCAAATAGTGACAGTTTGACTTCTTTACCAGTCTGGACGCCTTGTATTTATTTGCTTTGTCTTATTGCCGTGGCTAGGACCTCCAGTACTATGATGAATAACAGTGGGGAGAGTGGGCATCCCTGTCTTGTTGCCGATCTTAGAGGAAAAGCTTTCAGCTTCTCGCTGTTAAGTATGATGTTGGCTGTGGGTTTATCATATATGGCCTTTACTATGTTGAGATACTTGTCCTGTATACCCATTTTGTTAAAGAGTTTTTATCATGAATGGATGTTGAATTTTGTCGAATGCTTTTTCAGTGTCTATGGAGATGATCATGTGGTTTTTGTCCTTCTTTGTTTATGTGGTGGATGATGTTGATGGATTTTCTAATGTTGTACCATCCTTGAATCCCTGAGATGAATCCCAGTTGGTCATGGTGTATGATCCTCTTTATGTATTTTTGAATTCGGTGTGCTAATATTTTGTTGAGTATTTTTGCATCTACATTCATCAGGGCTATTGGTCTCTAATTTTCTTTTTTGGTGGGGTCTTTGCCTGGTTTTGGTATTACGGTGATGCTGGCTTCATAGAATGTGTTTGGGAGTATTCTCTGTGCTTCTGTTTTTTGGAAAACTTTAAGGAGAATGGGTGTTATGTCCTCTTTACATGTCTGATAAAATTCAGCAGTGAATCCATTTGGCCCAGAGATTTTGTTCTTGAGTAGTTTTTTGATTACTGCTTCAATTTCTTTGCTGGTAATTGGTCTGTTTAGATTTTCTGTTTCTTCCTTGATCATTCTTGGAAGGTTGTATTTTTCTAGGAAGTTGTCCATCTCTTCTAGGTTTTGCAGCTTGTTAGCATATAGGTTTTCATAGTATTCTCTAATAATGCTTTGTATTTCTGTGGGGTCCGTCATGATTTTTCCTTTCTCTTTTCTGATTCTGTTGATGTGTGTTGATTCTCTTTTTCTCTTAATAAGTCTCTCTAGGGGCTTATCTATTTTATTTTCTCAAAGAACCAGCTCTTGGTTTCATTGATTTTTTTTCTATTCTTTTATTGTTCTCAATTTTATCTATTTCTTCTCTGATCTTTAGTATGTCCCTCTTTCTGCTCACTTTAGGCCTCATTTGTGTTCTTCCTTCTTTAAATATGCCTGGATTGCTATATACTTTCCTCTTAAGACTGCTTTTGCTGTGTCCCATATAAGTTGGGGCTTTGTGTTGTTGTTGTCATTTGTTTCCATATATTGCTTAATCTATTTTAATTTGGTCATTGATCCATTGATTATATAGGAGCATGTTGTTAAGCCTCCATGTATTTGTGAGCCTTTTTGCTTTCTTGGTACAATTTATTTCTAGTTTTATCCCTTTGTGGTCTGAGAAGTTGGTTGGTATAATTTCAATCTTTTTTAATTTACTGAGGCTCTTTTTGTGGCCTAGTATGTGGTCTATTCTGGGAAATGTTCCATGTGCACTTGAGAGGAATGTGTATCCTGCTGCTTTTGGTTGTAGAATTCTGTAGATGTCTATTAGGTCCATCTGGTCTAGTGTGTTGTTCAGTGCCTCTGTGTCCTTACTTATTTTCTGTCTGGT